GTAGAGCAAGCAGTTTTCCCCAGAGTGCTCCCAGCCTTCTTTCCCATCTCTGTATCTTTTTTGGGACAAGTGTTTGGGTCCTGTCTATCAGATTATTGGTTTTCCTACAATTGAGCTGGGAGAACTCCTTATAAAATGTGTGTATTAACTTAGCAGATATGTGCTAGGCTCATGCGCTCCTCCCCACCCCCAACCCCTACCTCTGTAAGTTGCTTTTCCATTTTCTTGTTTGTTCCTTTGTTCTGCAGACCTCTTGAAGCTTGACACGGTTCCGTTAGTTTATTTTTATGTTTGTAGCCTTATGCTCACATGCCCTCTACTTAGGTTTTCTGAAGGTGGATCTGGCTTTATTATTTTTTATTTACTTTTACATCTAAAGGGTCTATCACCATGTTACCTAAGAATTAAAATCCTTATTACTCCTTCTATTTGACTATTACTGCTGATATCCTGAATGCTTCTGCTTTGTTTTTTATTTTTATGTGGTCCAAGCTGGCCTGAAAATTTCTATCCTCCTGCCTCTGTCACCCGAGTATAGGACTTACAGATTATACCTGGTTTCTGCTGCTGCTTTCCATGCAGCCGCTTGGTCTCTGTAGCTCGTGCCCCCCCCCCAGGCATGCAGAATATGCTTGGACATTTTCTCCTCATGGTCCCTTAGCCCCTCCACAGATCAGTGTGGCAGGAGGATGTGGAAGAATTGTGGAGAGAGAAAAACACTGGAAAGGCATGGAGCTAGCTCCACCCTGCAGAGAGCAATAGGCCCATTGTGGATTTGCTACAAATGTAGGATTTCTGGAGATATTTGTCCACAAAGAACACCTATTTTCTGTCTAATTCTGCTTTCTCCCAGTAAAGGAACAATTGCCCCGAGCCCAGTGATGATGGAGGAGGAGAGGGGAACTTACTCCACGTCACCCAGCACACATGCTGGCTGTTAACACCCGAGAAGTCATTTATCAGCCTGACAAACGCCTGTAAACTGTTGGCTGTGGCACTGCTTTCATTGTCTGCATTCAGAAAAATGTGACTGTCCGGATCTTTTTCCTGTTTTTTTTTTTTTTCTTTTTCTTCTTTTTATGAGTCAGAGGAAACAAATATGAATGTGATTTGTAAGCTGCCGGGTACCAGCCAGAGAAGGTGCTGTCATTCGACTCTGACAAAGCTTTTCCTTCGTGTTTCTCATGGCACTTTAGACTGAGTCATGGCTTAGTGGAGTTTAGAGATGAGTGCTTTAGTCCAGATGGAAGGACCTGATGAGAGGTGGAAAGACTTGAAGGTGAAGCCATGCTCCACCATCGTGCCAGTTATGTGACTTGAGACAAACTGTGGGGAAAAGTATCTTAAAGCTGCCCAGCTCCATGGTATGGTGGGAACCGCATGGACATACACACTGTCCTGAAGGCATGGACATACATCCTGTCCTGAAGTCATTGACATACACACTGTCCTGAAGGCATGGACATACACACTGTCCTGAAGGCGTGGACATACATACTGTCCTGAAGGCATGGACATACATCCTGTCCTGAAGGCATGGACATACACACTGTCCTGAAGGCGTGGGCATACACACTGTCCTGAAGGCCTGAACATACACACTGTCCTGAAGGCATGGACATACACACTGTCCTGAAGGCATGGACATACATACTGTCCTGAAGGCATGGGCATACACATTGTCCTGAAGGTATGGACATACATACAGTCCTGAAGGTGTGGACGCACTGTCCTGAAGGCATGGACATACATACTGTCCTGAAGGCGTGGACGTACTGTCCTGAAGGCATGTGCTGCATGGAAGGTGTTGGGCCCATTGTGCAGACGATTCCTTGGATAGGGAAGAGAGAAGAGGGTCAGTATGGTGCTGAGCACTTGGCAAACAGAGGAAACAACCCATACTTAGACTCATGGGTCTGCATGTCTGTCTCCCTGTGGCCTGGGAAAGTCTTAAAACCATGTGTGGCCCATTTTTGTAAATATAAACTGAGCATAATGATAATAACAATACTTACTCTCTTGGTCTCTTAGAGTTGCTCTAAGGACAAAAGAAAGTGAGATGTCACCAGACCTGTAGCAGGAAACCCAAAAAACATTAGTGCATTCACCCCAATATTAAATTCATGCCCATGGAACTTCTCCCTATTTTAAGAAATTGTCTTAAACCATGTAGCTTATGTGGATCAAATATAGTTTTGACAAAATGCAGGGACAACTCATGATAAAACACAACCACCCACTGGTCATGCTACCATCTGGTAGAGAAGCACTAATAAGAACTAAATGGTGAGCTGAGTGTTGTCCCGACCCGCAGGACGTCAACCTGGGACAAGAGAGTCAGGGATAGGGAATGGGGACAAGAGACGCAAAAGAATGACCACAAGACAGGATTCTGATTAGGTGGCAAACTTTATTTTTCTCAGGCTAAACACACTATTTTTCTCAGCCTGAAACACACTTCCTGCAGGCAGCTCACCTGGTTGGAGAGTATCCTTTCCAAGTGGCTCAGTTTTTCCAAAGCTCTTTCAGGCAGCTAGGGTGGTTTCTGCTTCTTCCAGGCAGCTGGGCTTGTCTCAGAGTGACTCTCAGCAACTTTGTTGCTTCCTCTGGGAGTTGGGGGCCTATTGAAGCTGCTCAGGTTCAGTGACTTCCTGGAGAATTCTGAGTTGTTCACCTTCCTGTTTGAGGAGCTTCCCTGCAGGATGTAATGTTTCAGTTTTAAGGGAAATTGTTACACAACAGGTTCCTGTAAAGTTGGGATATGTTGACCTTTGACCTGCAGTTGGAACAGGTGTACAAGTGCTCATTCTGTGTGACCTATTGATGTGTTCATCACCGACACCAGGTTGGATCAGGCAATGGGAGCTGGGGAGTAAACAGAGCTATCCTATGATACACGGCTTATAAAAACCACACTTTTTGACCACGAAAATCACAGCAGAGGACCTCTGTTCTCAGTGTCACACTGCTCTCTGCCAATCTGGCTACACTGGCAGTTACATTTTGACATAAATTTTGGAGACAACATTCAAACAGGCATTGGGGTTTTGGCCTGCTTGGCCTGAACATTTTCAGCATGTTCTTGCAATGCTCTAAGTGCAGTTGTCCCACCCACAGTCACGGAGTTAGCAAGTGACCCAGCCTGGGTATGGCGTCACGCTGTATTGGTTTTTCTCATTGCTGTGTCAAATGTCTGACAGGAGCAGTTTAAAGGAGGGTGAGCTCATTTTGGCTCATGGGTCCTAGCGGGGAGGGCATAGGATGGGAATATGAGGTCTCTGGTCATGTCTCCTCTGAGGTCTGGAAGGAGAGCGTGTTGTTCGTTCCTTTTTAACACTGCTGGGGAGGGGCCCTCCAGAATAGTCCAAGTGTCTGTTTTCCTTTGTTTACCCCCCCCCCCCCCCCCCCCCCTCCCTCTCCTCTTCCACACTTTTTGACCACGAAAATCACAGCAGAGGACCTCTGTTCTCAGTGTCACACTGCTCTCTGCCAATCTGGCTACACTGGCAGTTACATTTTGACATAAATTTTGGAGACAACATTCAAACAGGCATTGGGGTTTTGGCCTGCTTGGCCTGAACATTTTCAGCATGTTCTTGCAATGCTCTAAGTGCAGTTGTCCCACCCACAGTCACGGAGTTAGCAAGTGACCCAGCCTGGGTATGGCGTCACGCTGTATTGGTTTTTCTCATTGCTGTGTCAAATGTCTGACAGGAGCAGTTTAAAGGAGGGTGAGCTCATTTTGGCTCATGGGTCCTAGCGGGGAGGGCATAGGATGGGAATATGAGGTCTCTGGTCATGTCTCCTCTGAGGTCTGGAAGGAGAGCGTGTTGTTCGTTCCTTTTTAACACTGCTGGGGAGGGGCCCTCCAGAATAGTCCAAGTGTCTGTTTTCCTTTGTTTCCCCCCCCCCCCAGCCCGAGCCTTTCCCTTCCTCTCTTCAACGTGGAAGAAACTGCCATACAGCAAGGAGTCATGATGAGCTGAACAGTTCACCTCATAGCTGCCAGGAAGTAGAGCTGGCTCGTTCCACTCAGACTCCTTGCTGGTTGGTAGAATAGGATTGCCCAGATTTTAGTCAAGCTTCTCTGGCAACTCATGGCTACACCCAACAGTGTGTTTCAGTCATCTCTTAGGTGCTGCTCTGTGCATCTGTGCTGACAATCGAGGTGTCCCATCGTGTCTTCAGTTTGGCTCCCTAAATGCCAGCTCTTCACTTATTAATGCTCAGTCGTTGATCTGCTGACCCATAACACAGTAACACGGCTAGTATTTGAAGAGCCAACAAGGTAGTCATCCACAAGGCAGTGCATAGGGGCCAGGCAATCCTGTGAGAGGCCAGTATTTCAAACACAGAGCAGGAAAGGCAAGGTCAAGGCAAAGGTCCCGGTGTTCGTCCCAGTCAGTCCCTAAGTTCTAGATCAGTTGAGAACTGCCACCGGAAGGCAGGCTGCCTCACCATCTTCTGAGAACACAACACTCATTTCACGCCTGCTTCTAATCAGAGGGCCTGCTAAAGAGCCCCTGTAATCCTGTCCTCAGCTTGGGGTTGTGCACCCTCTTTGGGCTACTCTGTTTCACACACTCGTATCATCCTTCCACACTGTTCTTAACTTCCTGGTAGCTGCAGACAAGCCACAGGTGTGTTTCTGCTGCAGCCAAAAGCCACGTTGACCCTTCAGAGCCACCTAGCTCCTCAAGTCTTTACAGGATCTGAATAGCTGGACCAATCAGTGCATCTCCAAGCATCAGATACATTTTCGCCTTTAGACGTATCTCAGCCATGCCTGGGAGCTGGCATGTGTTTCTGAAACGTTTTTTAAGTAAAATGTTACAGTTACGCAGTTCAGTGGCTGAAGTGTGGGTTAATCATGGTGTGATCACCGTGGAGACACCTGGGAGTGAGCTGGCGCTGGAGTGAGGCTGCACACCCCTGTGGGGTTGGCAAATGAATGAGTTGGCTGTTCACTTAGTCGCTGTCCTTTTCTCTTTCCCCCCTAGGAAACAAATGGAAGACTGTTGCGATCCTGCCCATCTCTTTGCTATGACTAAGATGAATTCCCCTATGGGGAAGAGCCTGTGGTATGACGGGGAGTTTTTATACTCATTCACCATTGACAATTCCACCTACTCCCTCTTCCCTCAGGTGAGTGGCGTCCGTTCCTTGTGGTACAGCTCTTAGATTTCTCACGATAGGAAGGGTTTTCATGAGTCTGCTGAGCCCTGGGCCTGCCCTCTTCATGTCTCTTCCCATCTTCATCTTGCATTATTTTTCTCTCGTCTTCCCATGTGTTCTGCTTTGATGCCAGGGTGGAAGTAAGACATTAGAAGGAAGGACTTCACAGAGCTACAGTTTTCCTTCCGTTAGATTTCATATGAAACTGAGTCAAACAGTGCTCCGGAAGTGGTGGGCTCCTAGTGTGCTGACGTTGGCTGTGCAAGGATCTTGAAGATCTGAGTTAAGAATGTTTTCTTAGGACTCATGCTGCCACCGGGGAGAGGGGACCGTATGTCTTCTCAGAACTCTTCGGTGCTAACCTGTGGCTAGATTTTTGCCATGAAGTCGAGGAGTTGTGGGTACCGAGAAAGAACTCAGTCTGGCCACTTTTGAAGTGGTCTAAAGCAGTCTTTGCTTACTTAGTGTTGTCCGCTTGGTTTCCTCAACATTGCAGTGAAATGATTTTTACTAGGTAGTTTGAAAAAAAAAAGACAATTTTCTTTTTTTATTTAAAGAACTCTTGGTGGCATGCGGGTGTGGTGGGTGTTGGGAGTTGTCTCTGGTGAAACAGCCAAATCCAGAGTCACAGCCTCTACAAAGCCAGCCTGTTCTGCTGGGTACAGTGTTCTAAGTCAGCTCACCACAGAGATGCCTGCTTATCCGTGCTTGTTGTTACATCGTCCATAGTAACCATGAAATAGAGCCAGCCTAGGTGTCCACCAGCAGAGGAACAGATAAAGAGGGTATGACACACACACCAAGAAAGAACAATGAAGTCATGACATTCGTAAGAAAATGAACAGAACTGGAAATCATGTTGAGAGAAATCAAACAAATTCAGAAAGTGGATATTCCATGTTGTCTCTCATGGAGAGTTGAAACATGCATGTGTGTACACGTGTTTGCATTGTGTGTGTGTGTGTGTGTGTACATGTGTTTGCATTTGTGTGTGTGTGTGTGTGTGTGCATGTGTTTGCATTTGTGTGTGTGTGTGTGTGTGTGTGTACCTGTGTACACAAGTGTAGGACATGAAAGTAGAAATAAGAGTCTGAGAGGGAGGAAGGCCTAAAGGAAGAGGATGATGGGATGTCTGTAGCATGAACACAGAGGAAAGAAATATTTGGGAGGTGGAGAGAGACTGAGAGCGGCAAGGAGGGGAGATGAGGCAGGTTGGGGTACAAAGTATGGTGATCTACTTGTATGAAAATGTCACAATGGAACCTCTCTCTTTGTTATGCTAACCAAAAAATAATAAATCGACAACAAAACGGAACATCCTGTATTTATTAGATCACCCGTAGTTGTGCTAGTATAACTGAATGGTTTTGGAAGGTTTGCTGTTTAAATCAGGCAAAACCAACAACTAGTAAAGAGGGGAACGGGGAGACACTTGTTGCTCTTGGAGACGACCTGGGTTTACACTCACGTGGCAGCACATAACCTCTGTAACTCCAGTTCCAGTGGATCCGACTGCTCTTCTGACCCGGGGCGCCAGCCGTGCATGCAGCACACAGACATACATGCTGACAAACACTCACATACATAAAATAAAGTAAGTAGACACTAGGAAATATGGGCTGGGTAGATGACTCATTTGCACCACGAGCATGAGGACATGAGTTCAAATTGCCGTGTCTGTGTGGACAGCTAGTTGATGTGCTTCCTTTATGTTGCTCGAGGAAAGGAGAACATGTATGCAGAAAGCAGGTGAGTGGGCTCTGCTTGGTTTTGCCAGTGTGAGCAAAGCATGGCTTCTCCCCAGTGCACTGGCCAGCCTTTTCCATTACTGTGATGGGACTAGTTCCGGTTCAGAGACCCCATACAGGGTAGGGCTGAGCTGCAGCTGTCATGGCAGTGCAGTCATAATAGGAAGTCATCAGGACAAGCTCCAGCCCCCAAAGACAAGCCCCTCATAACCTACTTCTTCCAACTAAGCACCGCCTTCCGTCATTCCAGAGCCTTCCAATTATCAACTCAGAATTGGAATCTATCACTGGGTTAAAGCATTCCATAGGCTATGCCTCCATGATGTAACCTTCTCTGGAAACTCCCAGCACAGAGGGTGCATTGCTAACCCCCCCCCCCCCCCCCCCCCCTCGGATTGAATTTTAGTAAAGTATTTCCCCAATATTTCCAGGCTACCCATTCTACCGTCATGTACCGCTATTACACTCCACATGTGTTAGCCAGAATTCTTACTGCTATTATTCCTCCGCCTGTGTTTACTCATCATTTTATTGTTGCTGCCAACATACAGTCTAAGAGAAAGGTGCTGTGTTTGTTGGGGAATTTTAACAGGCCCTCTTTAGGGCTGTGTCTGCAGACAAGGGCTCCGGAGGGTACTGTGTCATGGGGATGTTACACCAAAGCTTTGTTACCACAGTCTGCCGATTCTTACATGGACACTTCACAGTTTCCTGTGGCTTCATTATCAACTGTATGAAATTCTGATACATAATAGTTCTCTGCATAATTACCTATGTACACATTGCTGTTTCCTCAGAGTTCTCTCCTGATTCTGGGACTTTGGTGTGAACCTCTGAGGGGTGAGCTTCCTTCTTTGTAGTAGAGAGATGCTCCCTACATCATACTGACACCCATTTCCATCTACTCACTTGCCAGGGTCCCTTGTCTAGGTCCCACTCAGGCTGAACTTTAGAGGTTCAAGAGCTCATGAAGTTATGATGTCCAAATGGCTCTGTGAATGTATTTTGGTGAAATAACTGTTAACATGATTAGGCATGAAGGCTGATTTTATTGATTTACTTATTCCCCTGGAAATTTTAATAAGGATTCTTGGGTTACACTTCAAACCTCTCAAGGATGTGAGCTAGGCTAAGGGGGTTTTTGTCATCTGTGAAATGCTTGGATGGTTACACTCGCCAGTTAAGACTAAGAGACACCTGGATGAGGAAAGCACACTTCTGGGTATGTCTGTTGGAGCATAGCCAAACAACTCAGGGGGAAGATCCATCCTGAACATGGGTGGAACCATCCAACGTGGGGGCTCCGGTGGAACAGAGACAGGAGGAGGAGAAAGTCACCAGTGTAGGCTTGTTTCCTGCTTTGCTTCCTGGCAGCTGTATCCGCTCAGGTCTACCACAAACTCCCTACCTTGGAAACACTGACTGTACACGTGTGTGTGTGTGTGTGTGTGTGTGTGTGTGTGTGTGTGTGTGTGTGTGTACAGAAGATAGTATGATAGTTGGGAAACGGCTGACGGGAAAGTGCTTACTGCACAAGGGTGAGGACCTGAGTTCAGATCCTCAATGTCCCTGAAAAAAAAAAGAAGAAGAAGCTGGATATCATGGCATAATTTATAATTCTGGTCCTGGGGATGCAGAGACAGCTGAATCACTGGGGCTCAGTGGCTCATCAGTCTAGTCAGGTCCTAGTGAGAGACCTTGCCTCAAACAACAGTGTGGGTGACACCCGAGGTTGTCCTTTGGTTTCCATTACATGTATATTCACACACATGCACAGGTGCCCCTGCCCACCCTCATGCTAGCCCACATCCTTGTTGGATTATGGTTTTCCTTTTTAGCTAAGGGTCTTCCAGCAGTCCTCCCCATTTTGTGGTTCTGGGGATTGAACCCAGAACCTAGGGCGGTAGTGCTGGATCCACATCCCCAAGCTCAGGACTGTCCCTTCTGAGCCTTCATGGTCCAGCCATCGAAGGAATTACAAATACAATCTTATTTTTGGATTAAAATACATTCCTAAGGAGAAGCATAGATTTCTTTGGACAAGAAAGGAGTCAGAATGTTAGCAACCAATCTGCTCTGATATAATCTGAAAAATATATCTCTTTGTACAATAAAAATGTGGCTAGCTCCGCACTCTCTTCTCATGAATGATAATCACATGGTATGGGTCGCAAACTAGACCAATTTGCTCAGGGTGATCCCCGAAGCCAAGCACAGGGAAAAAAACATACCCTACGCGGCCAGCACTTGCTCCCAGCTCCTCAGTTGAATCACACCTCCCAATGTGCTCTACTGAGACTGGGCCAGGCTGTGTCCCTGGCCTCAGGGAAACCCAGTAGGACATTGCAAGTTTCTGGAACTGGCCTTGTTGAAATGACAATGCACACCTTCCCTCTTCATAGACCTGTGCTGAATGTAATTTTCTCAGCTCCTGGATATTCCTGTGTCTTGTAGCAATTTCTTTTTCCTCCCAGTGAAATTTGTATCCTGCTGTAAGTAGTTGTATTACTGTAGTCACTTTTCCAATATATGCCTTTTCAACTGTAAAGAAACTAAGGGGACCAAGTTTATTGGGCATAGGGCATTGCCAGGTGTGTGTTTCGCTTGTTGTCAGGCATGCTTTACAACAAAATAGGTGCTTGCTTTCTCAAGTAATAGGAAAGTAAAGGGCCGGTCATTCAGGGGCAGGTTCTGGCTCCTGCACACCACCAGGCTTTCAGGATTCTTTTGCTGAACCAAACTAGCCGATGGCCAAGGAGATACCTACCTTGGTTCCAGGATCCCAGCAGGAGGAAAGAGACTGAAGAGAATTTCTAACACACTAATGCTCTTGTGTCATCAGTCAGGACTAAGTCACATGCACCTGTCTAGCTGCAGAGAGGCTTGGTAGTTCAGGATCTGAGTTTCAGGACAACACCCTGCTTTGCCAATCCATAGTACATGCTTTGTCATGGTGCCTTAGCCTGTCCTTTGAACATCTCTGTACAGTGTTGATATTTCCATTTCACTAAGAGTGAGAGGTGCTAAATTCCAATTCTGGGTTCTGAAGCTGCTGGGTAAAAAGCTGGATTATGAACAGTAGGGGAAATGTTAGCCATACCCTCTTGGGGGCTGGCACAGGTAATGCAGACCATGCCACAGATTATATAGTCACCTATAATAGTCAAAAACTTATAATTAGGTTAGTTAGGTTTTCTAGATATACAGAGATGTATTTGAAAT